TAATAATAATAATAAAGATTTGCTAACAACTAAAAGTAGCAAAAGTTAGCCAAAAGCTGACAGGAGCAAAAACAGGCTAAAACCGAAAAACAAAAAAGCTAGCTAAAAGTAGCAAAAGGCTAGATAGATGCTAAAAGAAGAAAAAAGTTAGCTAAAAGTAGCATACAAGGACAAAACAATGCATGTCTGTAGTAGATTTAAAATAATTTCACTTTTGAAGGAATTAAATTGATCTTTGTATACTTCCAGGGAAAGTATATAAAGTTAAATACTTTAAAGGTCAAAATGACAAAAATCAAACCTTGTAGCAACCATTTCCTGAAAGAGCTGAATGTTTGGATATATAAAAGGTTAAAATATGTTGCTAAAGTACTTAGATTACCAAAAAAGGTATAAAAAACAGGAAAACTTCAGTGTGCCTTTTGAACTTTGTGACACATTTTATTTAATTGAAAAAAAAAAAAAGATTTATTTTCCTGAACAGCTGCATTGTTGGAGATGTGAGGTTTCAYGCCGACAGCAACAATGTCAGGTTAAACATTGACTCAGAATTGACATTTAGGAGTCAATCTGTGCAGACCTTTTTGTTTGTCTTGTTTGTCTCTGGTGGGCCAGCGCTGGACTGGCCCCCTGTTGGGGGTAGACCTCCCCTGTATCCGGCTGATTACTGTGGTAGGAGCAGCTCCTCTGTAGCCCTGGACATGACCGAGTGGGAACAAAGGCTGAAAAACTCACTTAGGTGTTTTTAGTTTTTCTCTGCATCCCTGATGCTCTGTTCTGTTCTGTTTATGGTGATTAGGATGTAACTCTCCAGGACATTGGTCTGAGCTTTGAGCTTTAAAGTCCTGTTAGTTGGCTTCTTTATTCATAAGTTGGGCACAGTGCATTTCTTTAGAAATGGATGCAATGTTTAAAAATCTTTAGTAATGATTTTTTTAGGTTGACTGTTCGCCGCCCCCAGAGCCCTTCCATCCTCCTCCATTTTTCCCCTTTTCCTCTGACGAGACGCTGAGGAACATTTCTGACCTCTGAGCAGTAAATTTTCCGGACTTCAGACAGATGGAGGGTGGATCTGCGCCAGCGTTGTCTGGGAGTTTCCTAAGAGCTGTTATTTCATAGGTGGTTGAATCTGATAAGAGCTTTGCAGCTTTGTAAGCTCCTTATTGACAGGTTGATAACTATTTTGCGCTCTCTTTCTGTTTCCTCGCCTCCATTTCTCCTCGTTTCTAAATTCACGCTCCAGCCTTCGCTGCACTCACTCTCTTCCCCTTCATGCTCCTTCTTGTCAGTCGTTGTGCTTTCTACTTTTGTTCTTCTGCTTGTCTAACTTATCTCTTCCAATTTCTCACAACTTCTCCTCCGCAGTGGTTCTGCTGGACACGACAACGGTACTGGGAGAGCTGGACTGGAAGACGTATCCGGTCAACGGGGTGAGTGAGACCAGCGTTTGATGGACAGGGCCCCTGAACTTAGACACAGCCTCGGCCCATTTATGTGTTTTCTAGAGTTGAGTCACTGCAGCGGCCATCTTGAATCCCAATTTTTGTCTCTATTTCATTTTGAAACAAAGCTGAACGCTTGAGTCGAGGCTTGCAAGCTGTTTTGTCTGAGCCAGACAGGAGATGAGACCTTTGGTTCGTATTAGGCGAGACAAGTTTGTTTGTACAAGACAATTCAAAGTGCTTTATGTGATGATCATAATTAACAAAGGAAAAGTTAATATTTTAAATAGAACAAAGATAACTCTAAAAAACAGGTTTTTAACTTTGACTTGAGGGAAGTCATGGGTTTCAAGCTTTCTGACACTTTTCTGGGAGTTTGAGCAGAAAAGCTGAACGTTGCCTCGTCACGTTTGGTTTTGATTCTGGGGATYAACCTGGGAGGACTGAAAGGTTGACACAGCAACAACAAATCTTTAATGTATTTTGCTGCTAAGTCATTCAATGATTTAAAAACAGAAACATTTTATTCTCTCCGATACAGGGAGTCAGTGTCAGGACTTTATTACATAAAAACGAAAGAAAGAAAATAATCATGCAAGCATTTGGTGATGTATATGTTCATGCCAACCTTCTTCACAGTCAGACCAGAGTGTCATTTTGTGGTGACTTTCTTGTCAATAAGCAGCAATAGGTAAAATCTAACRGTGCACCTTTGTTCACCTATTTCACTCTATGCAAAATCCACTTTTTTAGCTGTTTAAATACATTTTGTTGTGTACTTGGAGCCTCTAGGAGTGCAGAAAACTAAATTTAATCCTTCCCAGTGCTGCATAGATACTGTATGTTTATATTTTATTTGGGTCTTATTTTTCAACATGTTAAGTTTTTTCTATTTTCTGTGATTTTTTTGGACTATTACATCACAGAAAGGATGCAATGGAACTTTTAAATAAGATCTGGAAACACCAACTTAACATGGTGGTCTTCATTCMCCTCTGGTTCTGGGTCAGACTCTGGCTCCAARARGTAAGGCTGGATGGACAAGTCTTCCCTTGTTCACATCTTTTAATTCATTTGTGAATAAAAAGTTTRTTCACTGTGCTGTATGGTCGTAAACCTCTCTATCAAACTGGAATGGACCACTCTGGAAGCTGGAGGGGGGCGGGGCATGAAGAATACTGTTTGGCTTTAAAGAGACAGCTTCAAAATGAGTTGATCTGAGACACACCTTACAAAAACGGTGAAAGAGGGGCTTGTGGAGTTACAATAAGGAGGAACTCAGACCAAAGCATTGCAGTTTCACTTTATTTAGACCCCAAATTAATTATTTAAATATGAAAGAGAAGGATTTAAAAGCAGGATATGTCTCCTTTAATTTTACTAAAACGTCCTGAAGTAACACCACCCAGCAATAAGAACAATTATTTAAAGAACATAAAAGTAATTGTGTGGATGTTGAGCACAGGACGTGGCAATGCTTCATATCTAGGATCTGACCTTTTCAACATAAGGAAGCAGCGAGCACCAAACAGCAGGTAACTGTATTAATTACCCCCGAGGGAAAAGGAAACTCASGACCTAAACCCGGATGCTGGGATGGATGTGCTGATTTTCTGTGTGCAGAAAGGGCTGCAGTCAGTGGAGCTCTGTCGCATGTCGGAGCAGAGGTGGGTTATTTTTCAGCTGACCTGTAGAATTCCCGTGTMGGGRGTCCACAGATATTAAACACTCTCCTTCCTTTGTCTTAGTTGGGACACTTCCAGCCTGGGGGCTTTAGTGTTCTGATAAGCCTCAGCTTATATGTCTGAGTGGACAGTGGGAGTATAAGAGTGTGTAATATTTTGTGAGGAGGATTTTTTTTTTTATAAATAAACTTCAACATCTTACCTGAGCGACTGCAGTCTGCTGAGCACAGCACAAGGAAGCTATTTCCCCTGACATTCTCCTGTTTGAACTTGATGTAACTGTCCACAGAGTTGAAATGCTGCATGAAGCTCGGTGCCTCTTCTGTTTGCATTTTGACCCGTGTGTCACACAGAACACACATCATGAAACTGGACCMGAGGCTCMGTAAAGACGTTTTCTGTTTTCCACTCTTTAGAGGTGAGCGTCGTGCATGATTTAAACTGCGTCCTGTTCTGGTGCAAATAGCTTGTTTGCAAATAAAGCTACAAAAAACAGATTAATGGTGTCCTCGTTGTCACCTTTTTCACAGTGAATTTGACTGATAATGATGTCCATGCTGTAAATCAGTTCAGTTAAAGAACATGATTTTCRCTGTTGTTGACTAAACCATCTTATTTTCTGAGCAGACTTCACCAGGACTACTCAGGTTTATTTGATGGACGTGGWCTTCGTGKRAACCAGATCCAATGTGCASCCAAAGRCTYATGARATTTTCAATTCAAAACATTTYTGGRGTTACATCATGGACAARTTCCAGTGTTCTGTCTTAAGCAGMGGTGCCCAAACATTTTCCCCGAGAGGGCCAAAATGAAAATCTATCCAGGGCAGCCGGCCAAATGCTGTAATATAATATGTGAAATACAAAAACGTTTTTAATGTAAAGTCCTTTATTTTTAACGATTAAGCTATGCAATGGCCCTCTTTTGTTTTTTTCAGGGTACTTGGAGAAAGTCTGCCATACGCTCAAGTAGCAAAGGCTCATGGGACATTTCATAAATTGATAAAATGAGTTTTTGGGCCTTATAAAGTGTGAAAATCTACATGTGGGGTTAAATCTGATCTAAATATTTCTTGTTGTCATTTCATGTTTCATGTTTAATCCTAATAAATCAAAGATAAAGTCAGCACCATGAATGAAAACTACCTTCACTACAGCCATTTTATATAGTCATTTGACCAATGGAAATACTGTGTTTCTACAAAGGATAACAGATTACAACCTTGTAACTTTGGCAACTGTTGGTGGGCCAAATCAAATGGATTGGCGGGCCAAATTTGGCCCCCGGGCCCCACCTTGGGCTCCCCTGGTCTTAAGGATGGACAGATYGGGACAATTTTAAGGACAAATGGTTGGACATTTCTGTCACTGGATGCCAGACTGGAGCACAGGCAAAGTTTAAACAAAGGAGTGGTCTGTGACCTTCACCATGTGACCTTGAAAATAGGGATGATCCTTGACCCACGAGTTATCTAACTGTGCAGTGTGACATTTTTATGATAAAGTAGACATTTCATGCTTTTGAATCATTCTTTTTCACTCAGTTAGGGTCTATATAAAATAGAACTGCAAAGCTTTGGTCTGAATTCCTTCTTATTGRAACTCCACAAMCCCCCTCTTAAGTCCTTTTCTGAGGTGTGCCTCAGGTCAGTCCAGACCTTATTTGTCTGTTCCATCACAAATACTAATAGTTCAGAAAATGTCAGAAAATAGAGAAAACTGAARGAGTTGAAAAACATGATCCAAATATAAAGATACCTGCAGCGCCGGAGAGACCAGATTCAACTTTTCTGCCTCCTACAGACTCCAAGTACAACAAAATGCATTTAATGGCTAGAAAAAGTGGATTTTGCATATGTTCCCTTTAAATGCTTATCAATTTAGAGCTCAGACAAGAAACTGTCCACAGACAGACAGACAGGACGACTCCACACCATATGTCTCGTCTCTGCCGGCGTGGAGGGAAAAGCAAAGCAAACCACGTACGAAAAGACAAACAAGTGGAAATAATTTCTGACTTCAAAGCTCGTCTTTTCTTTAAAAATAAACTTCAAGATTACATCTAAATGAAGCCACTCGTTTTGAGACGCCCGTGTGGGGAATTCTACGTTAATCCCTCTGATCAGAAAAAAAACAACAAAAAACAAAAGACAAACTGTTTGTCTTAAAGAGGTTTTACTTAAAGACACCTTCCAGTTCCCCCCGGATGCTCCAGAAAAAATTAATCTGGTGACTCTGAGTGAAGCTATAAGTCTTTAAGCACCTATAGGGTCTGATCATGGATGTTTGACTTTTAAYAACTAGATAAAATAGTCAAAATTAATCATTTTAAGAACATGGATGTGTGCTCTAATGAGCCTGATTACATATCATCTGTGGTGGTTTGTGGGGAAAAAAAGCAAACAAAAAAAATCACAGAATGATGAAAATCTTTGCAGTATGAAACGATAAACAGTCTGGTTCATTTGGACAAATACAAGCTTGTTTTTGCAACTTTGCTCCCCATCTTAAAAATGATTTTTTTTCATATTTCCAACATGAAACTAAGATATTTTACTTCTGAGGCTTCTTTGATGTGTTTCCCATTGATCTAAATATTTAAATCACTTTGTAGACCAGTGCTAACTTGGTCTGATGTAAAGCTTCTTCTTGCAAAAAAAGTGAGCAACATAAAAAAACATATAAATTCCTCAGAATGATGGTATTCAGCAGACCTACTTATTTTACCTCAAATATGAAATTACAATTTAGTCTTCACATTTCAATAAAAGTAAAGGAAAACTGTTAAGTCTCTTTCCCTTTTCAATGTTTTCATAGAACAAACAACAATATTTATATGCAGGAAATACAAATTTGAACAACMCACTAAATTATCTAGAGATTAAACTAATTTAATTGTAGCATGTAACACTAAGCCTGGAGGGGAAACGCCAGGAAGTTTATTTCTACAAATATTTCATCTGAGACTGAGAAACCATGGCAACAGATGTCATTTTTTTCCATTGCGATGTGAATAATTTGACACATGAGACAGTACGGGGGGAGGAGAAGTGTTTGTGTTTTCAGTGTTTTATTAAAAGTTTAATAAATCATATTGAGCTCGACCAATAAAAAGAATAAAAAAAGATTGAGATATTGTTAAAAGCCACCCCTCCCTGGCACTCTCCCTAAACAGGCTTTATTGCTGTGGGGGCCGACAGCAGCATTAATTGATTGAAGAAAAGCACCACAACACCACCTYGATTCATATCAAATCAATAATTCATCAAAACTACAGAGATTTAATGATATTTCCATAACACCC